CACTTTGCCAGGACGCTACCTTCAGGAAAGCTGAAAACATGCTAAGGAGGGACTAATTACCCTCTTTCACTAAGACAATGTACTTATACGTCCCAGAATCCTTTTCCTCAGTGCACTTGCTGGTAAGCCTGCCCTGCTTTTCTGATCTCTAACTCCAAAAGTATAACTTTTTCTTTCCCTCCTTTTTATTACTCCTTTGGATAACAGCTAAAATCCTAAGCCTATACAATAAAAACTTAAAAATAAATCCTACGCCAGGCTTCAGTGGCTCACCCCTTCAGTCCCAAACTAAGGAAGCAGAGGCAGGCGGATCTCTGAGTGTGAGGCCAGCCTGGTCTACAGAGTGAGTTCCAGGATAGCCAAGGCTACACAGTGAGACTGTGTCTCTAAAAACAAGAAGGAAATAGAAGTAAGTCCTGCACATGCTTGCCCTGACACCAAGTATTCTCATTCTCTGATGTTCCCTTGCCTGACCATGTAGCTACTTGCAAACTTAGATCTAGCTGAAAAAAAAAAAAAAAAAAAGGCTTTTCTTCCTCTTACCCATCTCCCTCCTCTAGGCAGCTGCCAGGATGTACAACTTGGCTGGACTGTCGTTTTTTCTAAAACGCTATTAAAATATTCTTTATGCTTCGTCTGAGTCAGTTTTTAAGTTCTATTCTCAATAAAACTGAAGAACCCAAAAAAAGGGGCCAGTCGGAGCAGGACCAGGAACTTAATCCAAGGTTACAGTGAAGTGCCTGTGGAAAAGGAGGATTTCAAAAATAATAACAGGTGTGGGCCACAATGTACTTTGCAAACTGTTTTTCAGGACAGACCCAAAGCAGGGAGTAAGAAATTTGGGACGCTGATCCCAGTTTCCACATGCGTCCATCTGAGCAAACAGCGCTAGCTGTGAAGTGAAACCTGGCCAAACAAGAACAGGCTGCTTGCTCTGGAGACCCAGGGACACAGCGGCCTTCACATTCTTTGCAAATCCAACTCAGCCTTGGCCAATAATAGGTCATCCCTAACCTTGGCCTAAGACAATACTTCCCCCGAAGGGGCCTTTCCAGGGTGGACAGCCACAGGGCTGGAAATCAATCTCTTTTCTTCACTTACTGGCCAAAAAAATAAAAAATAAAAAGTCCACAAGCAAGCAAGGACACTTGACCTTGGCTGATGCTAGCTCACAAGGCTGTTCTTTTGAGAGCTGGATAGGGCAGTTACACAGAGTGGAGACTCACAGGTAAAATGAGTCACTTTCCTCTGGGTGCCCATATTGCTCCTGGCTGGGAATGAGAAATGCCCGGGGGAGAAGCAGCAGCTGGCAGCCCAGGGGGCCCAGTGTGAAAATGTTCAAGATAATGAAGGACGCGTGCACATGAGCCTCAGGAACATTCCTGCAGGGTACAGAGAATAAAGTGCAGTGAAGAGAATAAAAGTGCAGTGACAGGCACACACACACACACACACACACACACACACACACACACACACACACACACACACACACCCAAGCGCCTGAAGCTCCAATAAAGGAAACCCTTAACAAATGCAAACGGATGAGGAAGTACTGATGTGAACTGGATCCTTTATTGCCGTCCTTCCTAGGTCTTAGAACGGTGAGTTTGGAAAAGCTCATTTCTAATGTCTGCCCTTCCCTTGGGTTGCAGTTTGCTATAGACATGCGCTCCAAACAGCTCTCCCAGGGAATAGGACTATTGCAGGAAAACACCTTAGCCTCCTCAGTCCTCAACTCAAGACTGCCTCTTTACCCACCAATGCTTGTGAATATACCCACAGATCTTCCAAGGTGGGGGTGAGGCACCTCCCTACCCCGTGGCTGTAAAGTCACATGACAAAGTAGTAAGGCCTAGAAACCACATTTAAACTGGGTCTCCCTCCCGTGACTAGTGGCTTAGACTCCAGAGCACAGTCTATTTTAAAACAGTGGTAGTTCTTGAAAGGAGAGGTTTACTAAATACTAGGACTGTAGAAGGTCCTGGGATTTGCTGGTGGGGCTGTGGCTTTGCTTTGGCCTATTTGCTGACACTGTAAGTAAAGGTGTCAGGAATCTGATCCCCTAACAACAACCTTCTGCCACACTGTGCTTCCCTTTTAGCTAAGATACTGGTCTGCTTTAAAACGTGCTCCTCTGGGCCTCGGTATGTATGTAGCTCAGAGGTAGAATACTCGTCCGGTATGCACAAGGCCTTGGGTAACAAAATAAAAAAGTAAAAAAGTAAACCTGCCTTTCTCTAAGCCCTGTGAGTGGTTCATTCTCCACAATTAACTCAGTCAAAAGACATTAAGAAAAATGTAAAAATGAAACCCATTCACCTCTCTCTATCCGACCCACCCACAGAAAACCACACCCTTCATACTTCTGCTGCTCCTCACTGGTTTCCTAGACTACCAATCTCAAGATAGCTTGCATCCTGGAGTCAGCCCACTAATACAGAGCAGGAATAAGGAAGCCACCAGAGCCACCTCCTGCCCCCCTTTCTCCCAAAGGACTGGTTAACCCGAGGCAATCTTCATAATGTCCACAACCATTACCACCCAGGTGCTAGCTTCATGAAAACCAGTATTTCTGCCCACCGCATGCCTCACACAAGGATTGCAGGGATGCTTTTGTTAACAAAAACTCTAAATCCAGTATGAAACCCTACCATCAGGCACCCAAGGTCGAAACAGCCAGTCATAATGCTAACCATGAAGGAACTTCTCATTTTAGTTGCCATCATGGTAGTTGGGGTCACAGTAGTAGTAGTGACTGCCGTTACCCACCTCATCGCTATCCTAGCTAAAAGATACTGAATGCACATTATGTGCATAGCATTTACTACAGTGACTTATTAATGGTTTCTCATCTTTACACAACCCTGGTATATTTATATGCGATCATTTCATTTCACAAATATGGAAACACAGGCTAAGTTACCCAGCGTTACATAGCTAAAAGGATTTGAACTCAAGACTGTAACACCTCAGCCCACAGACCCACCATCTACCACTCCTGCCTTGAAATATACAGAACTACAATGACTGCCAGTAACAACTAACGTCCTTTGCTTTGCTCACAGTGAGCCAAGACTACTGCTCAATTCTTGATTGAGATGATTTCATTTAATTCTCACAACAACCCTGTTTGGTAAGTGCTGTTAGTACTCCTATGTTACAGATGAGTGAAACTGATAAAGTAGTTAAACAGCATGCCTAAGGTCACATGGTAAAGGGCTCAAAGCCAGACCTCGGAAACAGAACTCCAAAGCTCTCTCCACTAGGCCCAACTTACATTAGGACAAGGAGATATTTCTATTGCCCTACTTAGTCAGGAACCCTACTGTGTCCCAATCCTGATGTGTTGACTTAATGGCAGTGAGGAAACCTCTCTAGTCCTTCTGTGTACATGCCAGCAATTCGGGTCTGGTTACTCTAGGAAAAGAGGATCCATCTCCTTCTAGAAGTGTCTCCTAGCTCCCATTTCCTTCAACCAGATTTCTGAAGATAACACCTCACCACGGTCCTCTGCTAATGCTGTGCCCAGAACATCTAATAAATGTTTACTCAGAGCTCCCAGAGCCACAGTTAAGGGCCTTAATGTGCAGTCTGGCTCTGTGCCTTATTTAATCAGCACCTGAATGAAATGTCTCTTTGCTAGCAACAGCCAGAGCATAGTCAGCTAGAGTTTTTCTGCAAACACAGCTGGTGCACTGGCAGAGGCCATTCCACTCACAGGCCAAATATACCCCAAGGTGACAGCCCTGCTGATGTGTGATGGAGATGGGGAGATGGAAGGCACTGAGCTGGAATGATGATGGACGCATGCTTCCTTTCCCTCCAGATGATCTCATTCTCCTTCTACACACCTGAGCACTTGCCGCAGGCCAGAGTTTGCGCTGTTCCTGCCCAACGCACCACACTGTTCCAGCACATCCACATCCCCGGCTGCCCACATCCTTTGGACCCAAACAATACAGAACAATACTGCACCTGGGTGGAAAGGTATTGATAGCTGCAATACTATCTGGAAAAGGAGGCAGAAAAAAGCACCAACCCTGGGCAAGGGAATATGGGAAAAGCCCGCTGCTTAAAAACACTAGACCAGGCTGGGCGATGGTGGTGTAAGCCTTTAATCCCAGCAGGAGGATTAAAGCACCAAAACTACAGAGAAACCCCATCTCAAAAAAAAA